TATATGTCACTACTTTGATCCTATAAATTACAAACGTTGTTTCACTCTAAACCGTTCGTGAACTAAATTTGTTACTCACAATCAAAGTATTAGCTGTACAAAGTAAGCTAGTGAAAAGACATTTCAGCAACAATGGATTTTAAGATTTCAGTGGACATTGATGGGAGATTTTCGCAGCACTGTATGGAGACGGTGTCGAAGGTGAAAGAGTTGAGGACTTTTGCTAATGTGAATGGAAAGGATGAGGAGAAGTTGTTGGCCCGAGCTAGGTGTTTAATGGAAAACGCCTACACCCAGCAGATTCAGAACAGGGCATTGGCTATGTTGGGCCCGGAGTTGATGCAGGTTGAGATGATTGAATGGTACGTCCTGTCACGAGAGGCAGCGATCTTGGAGCCTTGTCACCAGTCACCAGCAAGTCACCAGCACCGCAGCTTAGGGGGGGAGCAGAGAGCATTGTGTTGGAGGACAACGAGGAGGAGCCATTTAAGGTGGTCCGTGAGTTTTCGGACTATGCCTTCATGAGCATTGTTGGGTGGCACCTGTTTGAGCTGATTGGGAGTCGTGCTTCTGCAGGGGAGGATCGTGATACTGATTCGTTGGATCCTTACTCGCTGGTGATGGGCGACAATGAAAGTAGCGTATCAACTACAAGAAGTGCCATGGCAGCAGTTGCAGCAGAAGCAGCAGGTGACCCGCAAAGAGAGCTTGGACAGTATCTGTTTAATGCTATGATGTATTTTGTTTTGGCTCTGAGGGAATCTGCTCGTGGGAGCAGTAATCATTTGAGAATTATTGGAATATATGACAACATCAGAGTGGGCCTGGCGACGATGACGAGTCGGCACAACAACTCAGGAATTTTGGCGGACTATATGAGTCAGGTGTCAAATTTTGGTACACTAGGCCGGTATGCCATAGGGCTGTTGCATGAATTTCCAGAATTTATGAAATTTGTGAGAATTTCTCTGGACCAACTACATGAGGCGATGTCGAGATTTTTGGATACGCTTTTTTTGTAAGTGGCACCAGAGACTGTAGCGGCGCTGAAAATGCAGTACTGTCAGGGAGGTCTCACCTTTGTGGTAGGGCACTTTGACATACAAGAGAAGGTGTCTGCATCGCGTAAGCATGCAGCGAGAGGAATACCGCCTCGAAGGGTGATGGCCAATGGGTCGGGATACCCGAATGGAGGTGGTCAAAACAGAGATGGGGTACATGGAGATGGGGTACATGGAGATGGAGCATCTGCTGGTACCAAGCGGTGCTTTGAGGATGTTGATTTGGTAGCCACTATTACAGGACTGGGTGATAGGTTTGAGAAGATAGACGATAAATCCGACAAGCTGTCCAAGTAGATCAAGCCACGTAAGCGTCGAGAAGGTGGTGAGCCGGATGACTGGGAAGAGCGACGTGTGTGTTTTAACTGTAACACAAAGGGGCTTGTCAGGGCTAACTGTGACAAACCTGCAGCCCTAGAGGCTAAGAGCTGACTAATGGGTTATTCTTCAGAAGTAGGTGCTGTAGGGGCAGCGGTGTTAGATGAAGCCACGGCCAATAGAGGCAGTGTCATTGTAGGTGAGATAGGAGGGATTCCTATAACGATCTATGCAGATTCGGGTACTACGCCCAATCTGATTACAGAGGAGTTGGTAGACAGAGCTGGTCTGGATGTGGCTAGGTACACGGGTCTGTCGTTTGAAGGTGTTGCTGAAATGGGAACGGTTGCGCCCTTAGGGGTGGTTCAGGCACCAGTGCAGATGAAGAGTTGGCGTGAGCGATTCTTGTAACATGTGCTCAGGATGCTGGTAATGAGTTCCCTACCAATGAAGACGGATGTGTTGATAGGTCATGACACCATGGTTAAGGATGGCCTACGCTTGATGTTGAATGGCAGTACGCGGTTAGCGCTAGTGCAGAATGGAGATAGGATGGACTTTTTGCTGCATGAGGCAATGAGGCCTAAATTGGTAACGAGAGCAGAATTGCCAAGGAATCAGGCGTTGGTCAAGCCGGAGACTGTACTGACACCAAGGCAAGGACGGAGGGTAAGGGCTTTGGCTCCAAACCGTCGTCTATGGAAAGCTAAGGTAAATCGGAATGGTACATTGGCAAGGCTGCGGCGTCAGATAAATATTATTGACTAGTGTATTGCATAAGCAGTATGTGGCAGCAGCTACAGCGCACTGTCAGATAATGAATGGGTGTGTTGGGCGGATGCACAAGGAGGATGAGTTGGACCTGGTTGAGGAGCATATTATGCCCCGGAATCTATATGTGTTAGCGCCAGTGTACTTACCGGTGGGTGACATAGACATAGACCCAGGTGGGTTGAATAAGGACTTTCAGTCGTTTGATGAATGACTATTGAGGGCGTTGGGCAAAGAGATTGGAGTCGCAGGCAGACATTGAAGCCATGGTGGTGGTAGCTATAAATTCTATTGCATATGATAAAGAGAACCCGACATTTGTAAATTTGCCGGATGTTGAGTTGCGGGTGCGTGCTGATGCGGTGCCGCAGTACCATGTGTACAATCACAAGTATTTGGATGCTTAGGGGGTCCTGAAGGTTAAGACCAATGACTTGAATCGGGGTGGTATCTAGGAGAAGTTGACCGAGTCAGAGGTGAAGAATATGAAGTGGTGTGCTATGCCACATTTGGTGTATAAAAATCCTGGTTTTGTTCCGTTGACTGCTGATGATTGGCGGCTGTGTATTAATTTTAAGAAGACTAACACGCAGTTCGAGTGTGAGGCGTACCCGGTACCGACAGAGAGGCAATTTTTTTCTTCAGTCAGAGGACGCAAATATCGTACTATTGTTGATATTGGTCAGGGCCTCTGTCAGCAGAAGTTGAGTAAAGAGTCGCAGGAGTATACAACTTTTTGGACTCCGTGGGGACCTCACAAGTTCATAGGGATGCCGTTTGGGTTGAAGCCAGCCTCGTGGATCATGCAGAATCGCATGGAGTTGGTTTTGGATGAGGTGCCTAATCATGAGGTGTACATTGATGATATTGGTACAGGGCATGATGATGGTCGTGAGCATTGGAATGCTCTGGTGATACTTGTGGCGGCTTGTCAGAAGTATAATGTGAAGTTGTCATTGGTCAAGTCTAGCTTTGCGTATCACACACAACCATTTTTGTCTCTGGGCCGGATGGTCGATGAGAATGATGCATCCATCTCTGAGGATCGGTTGGAGGCGATTCTGCGGATGCCTCGGCCAACGACGAAGGATTTGTTGAAATCATGGTTTCATACCCTCACGTTTTGGCTTGAGTTTATACCGGATTATGCGCGGATCACAGCACCGTCGTCTGATATGTTGAAAGACGACGTTGTTTTTGAGTGGGGTCCGCTTCAGCAGTCAGCGTTTGATGCTGTGTTGAAGGGTGTGGCTGAACGTACAGTCTTAATTGAGCCGGAGTTTTATGATAAACTAGAGCTCTATTGTGATGCTTGTGATTCTGTTGGTGTGGCTGGGGTGTTGTTTGCTCGGTGCAATAATGAACTGTGTCCTGTAGGCTTCTGGTCTTCCAAGTTCAGTGCTGCGCAGCTCAACTACCACATTACGGACAAGGAAGCCTTGGCTATTGTGTACGTGTTGCACAAGGCTTTGCATATTGTTAGGCGGTCGATGCATGACTTGGTGGTATATACTGATCATGAGCCGTTAGTGGCTATGATGCAGAAGGTGCCGCATGAGTTTTAAGATTCAGTGCTGGGCAGGAGTATGGGTCGGTATGATCAGGTCTTGCGGGACTTTAGCTTCGTGTTGAAGCATATTCCGGGTGAAGATAATCCGGTGGCGGACGTGATGTCTCGGTTGGGATATCATATTGATCCGATTATGCAGGTGGAGTCTCCGTTGATCAAAAAGCATGTGAATTTTGTAGATCTCTTGGTTACGGTGCATGACACGGAAGAGCATTCGTTGACACTCAAGTATTTTGACAAGGCGTTGCAGCGGGTTGGTCCCTTTGTTGTTGAAGGGTTTGCGTTGCCAGGCAATAACTTGATGGCGCCGTATTACTCGCTCACTTTAGAAGGTGGGGTGTTTGCCTTGGACATTTGGTTTGGGCGGAGTTGGTATATGAATGCTCCGTTCTCCAAGTTGGATGCTGTTGTCCAGCGGTTCAAGTCGGATAGGGCCACTGCGACGCTGGTAGTGCCGTATTATCCGGAAGCTGCTTGGTTTAAGCCGATGGTACCTTTGTTGGCAGATACACCGATTGCTATTCCGCCTACGCATGGTGTGTTTTTGAAGCATGGGCGTGAACCTATGCCGCCGCCGCCGTTTGTGACGTTGATTTGTCATCCTAGTCCTCGTTGTGAGAAGTTCACTTTGGCCGAGGGATTTTGGGCGGCGGTGGATGCGCATCGGCATGTGACCAGTGCTTTGGTTGGTGCATTGACGACGCGACCGGATGACCTGGAGTCCTGTATGGTATGGCTGGTGTGGTTGAAAAGTCTGTCCGGTGTGGACGTGACCATAGGCTAGGGGGGTTTGCCTTAAAACCAGTTGAGCATGTGGTTGGTTCATGTACTTTCTTGACGACCACTGTCATGCCTGGGGAGTTAGTGTTGGAGGAGTCCGTGAGTCGGGCTGAGCGCGAGTTTGAGGCGCATCAAGTACGTGCGGTTGCTGTCATGACTCGGGCGCAGCGGTTGCGGGCATCTGCTGCTGAGGTGGAGGTGGCTGCTCGTGATGAGCCACCGGTTGAGAAGCCGACGTCGTTGTTGGCCAGGGCTCGGGAGCAGTTGGCAGCACCTGAGGTGGTTGCTTCTCCTGGTTTGCCGATCTTTGGGCCGCGCACAGAGAGGGAGTTTCTCGAAGATGTGCGATGTGGGTTTTAGGGTTTAGGTCCCGCCTAACGTTGCTACTGGGGATGCTGTGCGCTTCTTGGAGGAGCAAGTTTTGGCGCTGGGAGTGCCGCAGAAGAATACGATGGACGCTGACTCTGTGTTCAACACTAATGCTATGGTTAACTTTTGTGAGGTCAGGCAGATTGTGCCGCATTTTGTGTCGATCGACTGTCACCAAGGTAATGGGAGAGCGGAGGTTCTCATCCGTACGATGCTGGACTGGCTCAAGCGTGATGTGGCGGCTGCTGATGCAGAAGTGGGATCATGGGTACATTCTGGTTATGATGTGATCCGGACTTACAATGCGACGGTGAACTCGGTTACTGGGTTTCCCCCGTACTTTCACATACCGGGGCGTACGTTTCTACATGCTCAACGGGATCAGCTGCAAGAGAGGGTCTTAGAGATGCTGTTGACTGAGCGTGGCACGGAGGCTGTGGTACGTGATGCGGTGGTATTGCAGCGTGATCGGCGTGCGCAGGAGTCTCAGCGTCGGGCGGCTGACTTGCATCGTGTGGACGTGCCAGCGTTTGCTGTGAGTGATTGGGTACGTTACAAGATCCGATGTGCAGGTCATGCCTTGGCCGCACTGTATGATGGCCCAGCCAAGATTGCTGCTGTCTTGCCCAACTTGATGTATGATGTGGAGGTTGCGTCTGGGGTTGTTCGTTCATACATGATTGATGAGCTCAAGGCGCATGTTCAAGGCATTGATATGTTGCCGCCGGGTAGGCAGAAAGTTGTGACTTATCGCCCGCATGGGTGGCATGAACACTTGCTGTTGTTCAGGTCACCGATGCAGGAGATGTCGTCTGAGTATCGGCAGGAGCTCGGTCATCGGTTGAGGCGCACGTTGAAAGCGTGGCGACGGGCGGACGGGATGAGCTCAGTCTGGGGCAGATGGGAAGGCTTTTATGATAAAGCACGGAAGGCCACAGACTTGCAGTTTGCAGCGGCTCCTTTTCGTCAGGTTCAGTTACATCCGGACTACGAGGCGATTCTTTTAACTGAGTTTCCGGTTAAGCAACCGCGACGTTTGTTCCGCTCGCAGGTTATTGTTTTCTTGAAGTTTTCGCGGGATGCGCCATTTCGCAATTACATATTGCGCAAGTGGAGAATGCTTCCGTTGACGTTGGAAAGTGTTGAGATCCCCAGGCGGTAGTGAGTTGGACGGGTGGCGTATTTAGTACGGCAGCATGAGTAGTAGCGTATAGGCGGGAACTTCACTTGGCAGAGGTCAGAGGGAGAGTACGGCACCACGTCCCTGTGAATTTATATCGAACTAGCATGGTGGACACACTATACTGGGAATATGTCCACCCTATGACATGACAGAGTTGTGGTTATAGTGGGGGTTATAATATGTGTGTGGTCCACGGATAGTAGTGAGCCTGAGGGCTCGTGTGCAGAACTGAATTGTGTCGTATGCATGCTTGATGGCTCGGGTGTACGAGGGGTGATTTTTTAGAGTGACGGAGGCATGGAGAAA